GGAGCTCTTACCCTGCCCTCCACTGCTAGCTAGAGGTGCTCTCACCCTGCCCTCCACCCATCCTCGTCCCACTCTGCATCCCTGGGCTAACGCACTCCTCCTCTCAATTGCTTTCACCAGCACAAAACTGCTGGCAGCTTCCAAATCTAAATATCTGCTCTAGACATCAAGATTCTGCTCCAGATTTGAAAAAGCGGTCCTTCCTTCAAATACATTTTACTTATTTTTGCTCTCTTCATGACAAAGAATGACAGGTGCTGGCTGCTGGTCTAAGACTCAATGGAAAGAAACTGGGTGTACTAGATTTACTATGACGTGTTTATCCCTTGCAGTCTCTCCGTGAATGACTTACAAACATCTCAAACTCACTCATCATGTTCCCTGGGCAAGTCTGAACTCATGTTCTCTGAACGTGTTCTCTCATCCTTTGTCCTGTATCTTAGTGAATGGTACTTCTGCTCCTCCAGTCACCCAGCACAGAGTCATCCTTTTCATTTGGAGTGATGAAAAAGCTCCCAGTTCTGCCTAGTTAACTGTTTTCTAATTAAATCCCTCCTTCTTGTCCCCACGGTTCAACAGACATCGTTGAATCATGTTCAGCAGACATCCATGAATCTACAGATAAAAGAACAGGAGGATGAGCGGGAAACTTGGCCAGTTGCTGAAAACTTCTCACCAGGCACATTGGTTCTACTTGGTACCTTTCAGTCCCCTGACTGAACCAATGGAAGCCATATCTTTCTGAAATTCCTATCTGATGACATCATCCCTCTGATTATCAGCATTCAGGGACCAGTTGTTCCTACAGGACAAAGACTAGATTCCATGGCTGGCATCAGAAGTCATCTGAGGTCAGGGACGTGTGCTATTGCTCTGCCCTCTTTTCCTGAGGTTGTTCTCATCCTATAAATACTCCCCAGTACCCGGAACTACTGACATGATTCCAATTCCACATCTTTACCTACACTTTTCCCTCCATCAAGATGGCTCGCTACACTCCCCTCCCACCCTTGCTTTCACACCTGAAAATTCACTAGTCATTTGCCAAAACTCAGCTTGGGCTTCACTTCTTCTCTGGAGCCTGTGCTGAACTTTCCACCCAGGGCTCCACTTCCCCCTTCTTTCCTCCAAGACTCTGTACTCGCTCCTAGAACAGCATTTCACTGCTGTTCACAGGCTTGCACTCACCCCCTGCTGGAATCTTTTCCCTTCTTAAGAATGGAGGTCCCCACCTTATTAATCTGGGAATTAGCACAAAATGGAGATTGAAATATTTGCAGATGGATTGGTGCATAAATGGGTGAATAGATGGAGAAGGGTCTTGGAAAGATTACAGGCAAGGAGATAATGTGATAAGCTGTGCATTTTAGGAAAAACACTCTGGTGTCAGAGCAACGAGCTGGAAGGCTTATAACACAAATCAGAGAATATTACAAAGAATCCAATGGAGATGTACAGAGAAACAGACAGGGAGAGTAGCAGTAGCTAAGGAGAGAAGGGAATGGATCCAAAAAAAAAGATACTTATAAAGTGAACACAGATTTTACTGATCGTATGGGTGACCAGCAGGAGCAAGCTTGAGAAAAGTGAAGACATTAAGAATGGCTTCTAGGTCCCAGCTTAGAAATAAAATATCTATACATTCTGATCCATAGCATTAAGCCAGGCAAAGATACACCACAAATTTATATATGGAGCCAATCATGCATTTGGCTTCCCTGATAGCTCAGTTGGTAAAGAATCCGCCTGCAATGCAGGAGACCCCAGTTCGATTTCTGGGTCAGGAAGATCCGCTAGAGAAGGGATAGGCAACCCACACCCCAGTATTCTTGGGCTTCCCTTGTGGTTTAGCTGGTAAAGAATTTGCCTGCAATGCAATGCAATACAGAGACCTGGCTTTGATCCCTGGGTTGGGAAGATCCTCTGGAGAAGGGAAAGGGTACCCATTCCAGTATTCTGGCCTGGAGAATTCCATGGACTATACAGTCCATGGGGTCGCAAAGAGTCAGACACGACTGAGTGACTTCGCTTTCTTTCACTTTCTATTAAACAAAAGGGCAGCTGAAAACAGGAAACAAGTAAATATGGCTGCCTGGTAAATCCTAAATTACCATAAAAGAAGAGACTTTCCTAATCTCCAGCGATTCATAAAGACTGGAAGAAAGTATTTATAGCAGGTCATCTCTTGCTCTTGACAGCCATCTCATCAGTGGGCTGGGGATATATATATATACATATATATACATATACACACGCACACACTTGAAACTATGCTTTATACCATTAAAATACCATTACAATCATGGATTTTGCATATTTAACAGAAATGTCTCTTTACCCAAAACATAACTTTAAACATACTTTTCTTGGCTTCTTGGCAATGAAAACACAGATCAACAGAGTAAATCCATTCCTGAAGTATACACCTCATTCATCACAGTACACTTGTTCTTGGCAAGAATGATAATGTGCTACAAAAACTGTTATTAAAGTAAGATTTGAGGATTCCCAGGCTGGCAAGGAATTAGTTACCTACACTGCTTTAGAAATTGTTTTCTTATAATTTCTTTTATTATTAATGGTCTTGTTAGACTTATAGTTCAAAGTAACTTTCCTTGATTAATCTAATGTATAAAGCCCAGCTATTCCTAAGCTTGCTTAAATCATAAGCAGCAACTGCCAAAGATGGCTTGTCCTCCTAGGCCAGCTGTAGTTGGGCACCACCTCCCAGAAGATGATTCAATCTCTGTGTTCAACTTGAGTCTAGCACCTCCTGCCCTTAGTTTCAGCTCAATCCTTAGTTTCAGAATCTAAAACTAAGTCATTCAAAACTTCACAATAGCATGTGGTATTGATAAGTACATAACTTGCTTTGTTTCTACCACTAAAGACACTGGCTGACTGATAAAGGCTGGTGAGTAGAGTGATTCAACCTTGAACCTCTTGAACGATCATTTGTCAAAAATTTAAGATTCTGTAAGGCCAGAAAAACCTGTTAAATCCTAACACACTGAAAAGAAAATGTTGCATTGCAAGAAGTCCTCATTCATGTTCAAGGGCAACACTTAGCTTAGCAAATACAAGGCAGGAGCACTAACCAAGGTTGTCTCTAACCCTTTCTGAATACGCAATACATAAGCTACCAAAAATTCAAGGCCACTAAGTAACATCATATTGTAACATCAGAGTTATGAATATTCTGAGCAAACTCTTGTAAAAAAAATCATTTTCTACACAGTATATACTCTGTTGCCAAACTGAGCACAGATCATATTGCTAAATCTTTTAGTGGATTCTGACAGGTCAAAATAATTTATCAGGCTCATCAGGTAATAGGATTAATTATATATCAACTCAGAGTGGATGAACATGTAAAGTATCAGTAGTGCTTCTCTAAGTCTAGCATTTACTACAGTAACCACATTTAAGGAAATGTGAATCTTGCAAACATTATACTTTTGATGTAATAATGATATTACACAACTTTCTCCTTGTGTACGTTCTAAGATGGAAAGTTGGCTGGAATATTCTGCCTAATGCTACATGTTCACATCAATCTGGGACTGTAAAATTTTCCAGACACCAGCGCCCCACAGATTGTAGACTCCACCAATTTCCTGACTACTACGTGGTAAAATTCCAGGCTCACCTATTTACAAAACCAGCCCCTTCCTCCATGTTATTTAAAAAGTGTTTCTGGACTTGATGCCAATCCTCCATCCTAGGTGAGAGCTGTGTTTCGATGACATGCCTCATTTCTAAAAAACACCTAATTCATGTCTTCCAAACCTTTTTTTTTTTTTTAAACTAGGAAACAAGGAACCTATCAGGGAGTACCTGCAACTTTCTCTACTGGCCTCCTACGACTGAGATCTTAATATTCCATTTTGACAAAAAGAAGCAGAAAAGGGAAACTACAAAGAGAGGAGAAAAAAGAAGCAGAAAAGATGAGGGTGTAACGGCATAAAAACTACCGTAAAATGTCCACATAAACGTAATTCTAACAGGAGATTGAATGAATGGACGTTGTGGGAAAAACAGTAGTAAACTTTAAAGCCACAGAAAGGTTTTAATGCCTCAGGGAAAAATAAACATTTGCTTCCAATCATTTTCTCATTAAGCATTCTCTGCTAGATGGTGAAGCTTACTTAACACGCACACGCTCTGGCCCCTAATCACCAATGCCAACTTCACCCACTGCCTGATCCCAGTCCCCAGCGGGCTAAGTGCCCAACACCTCTGCCCGCGCCCCTGCGCCCCAGGGCCGGACTCCACGCCGGCCTCGGCGCCTAAGCGAACATCACCTCGCCTGCTAGCCTCCTCCAGACCTCTGCCACCTCTACGACAGGAAGGATTACTTGCACTGACAGATTTTCCGTTAGCTGAGGCTGAGGTGGCTGCGAGGCGTGTTTACGGCGCGCTGGCAACCTCGCTGCTGTCCCTACCGCGCATCGGCCTCCCCAGCTCCGCCCCGGACCAAGACCCAGGCCTGTGTCTCGCCTCTCTGAGCCGCGTCTACCCCGCCATCACCTCCTAACCTCTCCAACACTCTCTCAAGCTCCACGCGGGCGCACGGTCTCGTGCGCCTTTCTCAGCTCCCGGGCGCCCCCCTCGGTTGGAACGGACGCATCTCGGGACCTCATCGCTCCCAATTATCCGCGCAGACCAAGTCCCGCGCCTGCCCGGGTCGGCCCCCGAGTGCCCAGAGCGGCCGGGCAGCTCATTGGTGCCCCACGGGGAAGGCTCCGTCTGCAGGGGCGGGAGGGGTGGGGCTCAGGGAGGTGGCAGGCGCCAGGAGGGAGACCCTAAACACGTGCAAAGAAATAAAACCTACCACGTGCGCGCGCGCGAGCGTGTGGGCTCGTGTGTATGTGTGTGTGCGTGTATACCCGCACGGCCGGCTAGGGCGTGGGCGCCGGGCGTCCCAGGGGACCGGGCAGGAGGGTCCGCCCGGCCGCCGCGGTGCGGGGGTCGCGAGGGGGGGGGGCGCGGGTACTCACACGAACGCGTGGTAGACGAACGCCCAGCCGCGGGGCCTCTCCAGCACGTTATACAGGTAGTTCTGCAGCCGCCGGTACTTGACGTTGCGCCGGCAGCTCTGGCCGCTGGTGTAGGAGAGCGGCTTCCCGAGCAGGCTCATCCGGGCGCCCTGCTTGCCCCGCCGGCTCTCCCGCAGGCCGCCGCCACCCAGCGCCGCCGCGCGGGTGCCCAGCAGCAGCAGCCCGTCGCCCCCGGCGGCTGCCGAGTTCAGCAGCGCCCTGGCCCGGCCCGACTCCACATCCTTCATGCCGCCGCCCGTGCGCCCCCCGCCCGCCGCCGCCGCCGGCGCGCCGCTCCTCACGCCCGCGTGCTGGCGGGGCATGGCATCACCGCGGGCACCGCGAGGGGGGCCCCGGCGGAGGGGGCCGTGGCCTCATGCGCTCCGGCAGCTTTCGAGGAGGGAGCTGCCGCCGACGGGGCGCCCGGCGGCCCGCGAGCTGCGCGCCGGGGGGCGGAGAGGGCGCGCGGAGGAGGCGAGGAGTCCAGGTGTCCTGTAGCCTTCAGCTCCTTAGGCGAAATCGGGACGTGTCGTGGGGGCGTCACTCCAAGAGGGCTCCTCCGGTCCCTCGGTCCCCGCGGCGGACACTCCCTCCTGGCGAAGCTCCCCCCGGGGCTGGAGATGGAGCTCCCGCGTGCGCGCGCCGGGTCCCAGGCTCCCCACGCCGGAGGGGACCTGCGGCACCGAAACCCCTCTCAGGGACGGGAGTTCGGCGTATTCTCCCCGGGGCTTTGGAGCTGTTGGAAGGTGCGCCCGCCTCGTACCCAGAGAAGGGAAAGGAGAGGCGGGCGCTCTTTCCTCCCGCCGCTGCACCGCCGCGCGGTCTGGTCCCGTCGTCCTTCCGCGAGGGGTGTGTGCCGGAACGGCCCAGTCCTGCCCTCCAGGTACCAGCCAGTCCCCAAGCGCGCCGGCCCAAGCTCCGGGCGGGGGCGCTCGGATCCTCACGTTCAGGGTGCAGCCCCGCGGGACGCGACCGCCTAGCCAGCGAGACGGGCGCTGGGCACCTCACCGCCGCAAACTCCTCTGGCTTGCGGGCTGTGACTTTCCATCCCAGCATCAGACAGGAGAGCTGGACATCCTTGCCAGCCCGGGGGTGGGGTGGGGTGGGGTGCGTCAAAACTCCGCTTCTCCGCGGTGAACGACTGGCGCTGGGCTGTGCCTTACAGCGGCGCGAAGCAGGGTAGCACAGACCGGGTCCCTCCGTCAAGAAATTTGCATTGAAGTCAGAGAAAGTCATAAATAGGCGAAGTCTCTCGGCGGTGGCGGCGGCAGCCCCAGAGTCTGGGGGCGGGAGGGAAATCCTGGAGGATGGAGAGTCCAGGACCCCAATTTCCCTGGGTCCTCTCCCCACCCGCCTCTGCTTCCACTTACGCAGTGCGAGGCTTCTCCCGCCGCCTCCAACACAAGAGCGGTCCGCCCCCAAGCCCCCTTCCCCCCGGGGGAGGAGGGAGGCCGGCGAACCTCTGGCCTTCAGCGAGACGGCGTTAAAAAGCGTGAGCCGCTGTGCCAGAGACGCTGAGATGAAGCTGGGTTTGGGAACTTCTTCCCAAAGAGTGGAACCCCTCCCCTCCCCCTCAAATAGGAAGGAAATGATCACTAAACTGAAGGAAGAACTGGGGTTCCACCGCAAAGCCAGAACAGATGGTTCCGAGATAGTGAGCCCCAGTGCCTTTTTGCTTCCAGAAGCCGAAAGCCGAGGCGTGAGTCCCGTGTCAGCTGCCCCCGGCTCTGGAGATGCTCGACCAGCTCCTCCGTGTGAGCAAACCAGTGGCGGCTCCGGTCTGCCTCGGGCAGCGGCCGCATGGCCCGGCTGGCCCCTTCCTTCTTCCTGTCATCGCTGCGAAGTCAGCGCAGCCCCCTCGCCGGCTCCCGGCCGCCGGCGCGACCCCGCGCCCCCTCCCGCCGGGTGCCCGAGCCCGGCGGCCGCGGGCGCTTCGCGGAGGCGCTCGGTGCAGCTGGCGGCGCCGCCACGTGACTGCCCCCTAATTCACTTCCACCCCCGCGCGCGCGCGCGCACGTGGAGGGGCAAGGGGGCGGCCTAGTGCCCCCAAGGTTCAGGCCAAGTGACAGAGCGCCCCGGAGCGAGCGCTCCACTCCTAGGGCCGAGCGAGGACCAGGCGGAGCGCTGGGGAGTTGGCGTCGCTATATTTAGACTCCCCCCGGAGTTTCCGCGCAGGGTTTTCAGGGTGAAAGATCTAGAGGCTTAGAAGGATTCGTGTGCGCGCTTTCAACGTGAAAATCTTGGCTTTTCTGCAGGCAGGAAAATGAGAAGCATTTCGGCTTGAACGAGCAGTTTTCCTTCTTGCACACTTTACCCCATCCCACTGCAAAGGTCAGATCCCTTGTCTCACTGGCACTGCTGGGCCCAGCGTGCTGGCTGGAAGGTTTGGGAAGGCGGGACAAATTTCCAGGGAAAGAGCCAGTTGCCTGACTTCTCATGGACGCTTTCCTGAGTGTGTGGCAAGGTGGGAAACCGTAATGTGGATTAAGCAAATGCGTGACACTTTAAAGTAGCATCAAAGGTGGTGATCAGCAGAGGTTTAGAGCTGGGAAGGGCCTTTGAGATCGGTTCTCTGGTTCTCTAGAAGTTAGAGACACCCCAGAGGGGACCGGCCCAAGCATTCACAGGTGGTTGGTATGAGGGTTATCAGGAACCCAGCAGCCTCGCCTCTGGGTTTCGTGTCCCTTCCACATCTTAAACAGAACAGGTACTGAAACGCAGGTTACCCTGATGGCGCTAGCTGTGAAGAACCTGCCTGCCAATGCAGAAGACTTAAGAGACTGGGGTTCAGTCCCTGGCTCTGGAGGAGCCCCCGAGGAGGGCATGGCAACCCACTCCAGCATTCTTGCCTGGAGACTCCCATGGACAGAGGAGCCCCTGGCTACATCGCATAGGGTGGCAAAGAGTCCGACACGACTGACTGAGCGCCTGAGCATGCAGGCACCCTGAGGCGCTCCTGGCTGTATTTCAGCGTCTCTGCAGGCTCCCTTTGGAAAGAGAGGTTCAGCCACAAACTCTGACACCCCGCCTGAGCGTGCTGGGAAGGAAAGGCCACGTGAGGCTGCTCACCTCTCTTACTGGCTTCCCCGTGTGTTCCTGGCTTCTTCACTACCAGCTAACTTCTCTCAAAAGGCAGGAATTAACTGTTGGAAAAACAGAGTGCTGTGATCAAGCTTTTTTCTGTCGCTGTGCCTTTGAACACAGATGTTGCTAGGAAACTGCCTTTCATTCTTTTGGTTGAAATATTAAAACCTAATATCAGAAGAGAGGGTAGACAAAGAGTGAAATGACATAGCCATGTATATTCCACCTGTAATATTACATTAGAGCCTTATAAAGAGGTAGAATGGTAAAAGACAGCCGTCTTTTCCAAACCAAGTGTTTATTTCTAATGTAGACCATATGAGCTGATTTCCCTCCCCATCCTTTGGAGGTGAGTGTGCTTTCAACCATTGTGAGATATCTGCTTGAAATGTATGCCCATGGAAGGTTTTATTCTCTGAAGTCTACTTGGAGATGGTTTCTGCTGAAAATAGCTACTAGAAATATTTTACTTCAGTGTGTTTTCTATGCCATTATATTTTTCATCTGAAGGGCACTCTAGAATAGTAATATGGAACATTCTATACAAGAGCTAGAGGTGCTTGGGAAAGACTTTCACAGCAGAATAACTAGTTGTGAGCTGGTTTTACAGAATATCCGTGACCACATGCCTCTCCCGTCTCCTCCAGACCTTCCCAGCCCCCGTGTTCTGCTCCTACCACCTCTACACACTTCTCATTGAGTCATGGTCATCGTTCTGGTCAACTCACAATGGATGGAAGTGCTCCTTTTTTGTGTGATGTGGATGCTTTTTGATCCACTGCGAAATGCCAGGTCAACCAGAGTAGTGGTAATAAACAGAATCCTCAAACCTTAGAGCAAAAGGGACATTTGCTGATGAAGAAATGGAAAACTATTGTTGGCTGCTTGCCCAAGGCTCAGCTGTTTGCCTTGGAGGAAGAACTGAAGTCCCCTAACGCCTGAGTGGAATGCCTTTAAGCCAGGCCACCCTTTCCCTTAGCTTTTATTTCCTCCTGTCAGATCAGAATCAAACCTACAAGCACAACAACTATAGTTGTGTTTCTTAGGTATCTTATAACCATTGATTTGGTAAATCTGATTATTTCAAATGTGTCAGCATTGTGGACCACAGTATCATTTTTACTCTATGGAGGATTTTTAGAGATGTGATGCTGAGATTCTCTCTATATTTTACCAAGGGACAGAAATCAGAAAACCTGGGGCAACATCAGAGATCATAAGAACCTGCCAGATGACATGAAGGCTCCCACATCGCAGGGACTCATCCTAGCCTGCCCTCAGTGGGTGAGGCATGGTCCCTTCAGATCAGCCTCTGCCTAGGGGTGCAGAAACAGTGCAGGTGTGAGTGGACAGGGGTGTGAAAAGAGGCTGGTGGGGGAGCAGACAGAATAGGAGAAGCGCTCTAAAAGCCTCACCATGTTCATCCCAGCAACTATCAAAATTTATTTTCCTAGGAATTACTAAAATAGTGTGCCAGTTACCACTGTCAAAGCAAAATAATAGCAGACATTTCATATGTGTTTACAGCGCACGAGGCATTGTGATTAACAAGAATTATTTCATTTGATTCTGACCGTAGCTTTACAAATGAGCACTACAGGTTTATAAGGAAGAAAGTGAGGTTGTGAGAAAGTTAATACTTTTTCAAAACTAATGAGAAATTGAGTCTGAACTCAAACTTATGGTTATTTCATGAGAAAAAAAAACAACACAAAGACAAAAACCAAAACCAGATTTTAAATAACTAGGCTGTATTAACTTTTGAAATAAAAAGCCTTAGCCTATTATCACGTTAATATACTTGACTCTTTTTCCTTTAAAAAGGGAAGTGTTGGAAAGTGTCTAGTAGCTGTTTCATAGTAGGACTTGGGGTTTTATTCTAAACACAGAATTAGCCTCAATACCCCTCTTCACTTTTCCTGAAGAAATAAAAGCTTATGTATAGAGATTTTTCTTCTGTATTGAATATTTTAAAACAGTCCCAAATCATGAAGTAACAGTATCTTGGAATTATACTTACATTTTTATCTTTTTCCTAACACTACCTTAAGAGTCCCAAATCATGAAGTAACAGTATCTTGGAATTATACTTACATTTTTATCCTTTTTCTAACACTACCTTCAGTTTTATTCACAAACTCCTATTTATCATACTTGGCTATACCAGATTTCTATTTTCTTCCTGTTATGTTAGTATGGCAGCCAACTACTTAAATGATCTTCCTGGAAGTAATTTGAA